CACCAGCTTCTTTGATGTCAAAGTATCCAGACATTTTCCTCCAATATGCCCCAGTCTTCTATGCCATAACGTAGCAGTGTCCTCCTCCGCATGTTCTGAAACATAACTTTCACCACTGAATACTGTTCTACCCACTATTTTTCACAATTTACCATGGCGCTCTCCTCTTACAATAACCAAAGCTCCTCAAGTCAGCTTGAGGGAATACTTGTCATTGCTTAAATTAATACCGGCATCTTCTATACTACCAACGGAGATCAGATTTCTGGTAAGCCCCGGAATATGCATCACACTCGGCATATTTTTGACTGTCACGCCACTTATCTTCAGCTTTACCTTCCCACGCCCCACAATAACACGAGTTATGTCATCTCTCATTCTAACTGTCCTGCTAGAATATGATTCATAGGTCCAGAACCACTCCCTATGAGGTGTCATATGAAACGATGCTCCAGTGTCAATAATCTAGTCATTGCAATCACTATGACAGTCAAACACCATGTACAGGTCCCCTGTACTATCATCATCATCTGTCTTTATACTCGAAACAAAAGGTTGTGAATCATCCCGCTTCACAGGACCTACGCTTTTGCTTCTGCAATTTCTTCTCAGATGTCCAACATGTTTGCACCTCCAGCACCTTATTTCAGATTTTTCACAAGACTTTGATCGTCCCCTCGATCTTTCTCTGTGACCAGACTTTGATTTGTCACCACTCTTCCCTCTAACAACCAGAGCCTCATTGCTGGTATCTTTAGAACCTACCCTTCTCATCTCCTCAGACGATAAGGCAGCAACAACCGTCTCGAATGACTGTTTATTAACAACAGTACCAATTGACACAATGTTCCAAAATCGGAAAGTATACCGTTCGTTTCAAGTAATAAAGTGTGAGTAGAGTATCATCCCACGAGGATTAATGCACCAAATACTATTCTCACTATTCCGTCTAATTTGGACAAATCAAATTGATTTTTGAGAATAATTTATGAATTAAAATAAAAATAAAAGAACAAAAAATAATAATTGCAAGAACAATTAAAGAACATGCAAGAATAATTAAGAACGCAAGAAAAGATATGAGTAAAGAATGTCAAAAACGGAAACTGTAGTTAGGAATTATTTCACCTCAGATCCTCCTAGAATTGTTTAATTTAATTTAATTATTAAAGTATCTCAGATATTTCAGACAATTCATCTTCTAAAAAAATAGTTGGTTAAATCCTAATGTCTTAGTGACTTTAACCCTTTATTCTAATTAGAATCCTAATGTCTTAGTGATTCCTCTTAAAATAAGCATTAGACACAATGATTTATAAAGTCTACAACTCAAGCAAGCCTATGTCTAGATCATGTAAGAATTGATATTTTACCCCTGTCAGGATTCAAACCCCAATATGTCTATTGTGAGCCCTAACCCTCAAATCCCTATAAGAGTGATCAATTCATATAAGGATATAGAAGTTCATGCAAGGTAAACACAAATAACTAAAACAATTTATTAAAGAAACTAAATTAAACCACGACTAGGATTCACGTCGGATCCATAATCCTAACTACAAGAGAGAGAGAGAGTTAAATGTAAAAGAAGAACATCATAAGGAAGATGACATAAAGGAACAGGGATTTCTACGGATCAGTCCAAAAAATATAAAAGCTAAAACGTAGTTTAACTGTTGAAGTTTGAGGTTAGGGCTTGTCTGTTTTTCTTTTTTCTTGTCCTTTTGAGTGTTACACAGTAACACGTATTGCTAGGGGTGTCAATATGGGTTGACACGACACGAATTTGACACGACACGAATTCGACACGACACGAATACATCAACACGAACACGACACGAATTTTCATTCGTGTCAAAATCTTCAACACTGACACGACACGAATTTTTTGCGGGTTGACACGACACTACACGAATAACACGCAAAATAGGGGACAAAACGGTAATTGACAAAAAAAATTAAAAAAATAGATCGAAAATAAATAAAAAATTAAAAAATAATAATAAAAAAATAAAAATAATAATAATTAAAAATAATACGGGTCGACACGAACACGAATTCATAAACACGAACACGACACGAATTTTTTGCGTGTCATTTTTTTCAACACGAACACGACACGAATTTTTTTACGGGTCAACCCGAACACGAATTTTCGTGTCGTGTCGCGGGTCGACCCGCGTGTCAAAACCCATATTGACACCTCTACGTATTGCAGGGATCTGAGAACCAGATGCGCTGGGTTGGGCTTCTAGTCATAGTGGGCCAGACTGAATTCTGATTGTAAGAAGTTTTTTTTATAAAAAAAAATAGTAAAAGATAAAGAGTTTAATTTATTTAGCAAAAAAAGAGTAAATTTATAATAATACTTACGGTTTATTTTTTTTATCCTATAATTTATAAATATTTGCTCCAACTCCCTGCCTGCATCTTAATATACTTATTATAAAGTATAATTTCTTTTAATGTTATATTGACATATGATTTTGATGATGATATAAATTTTTTTTGATTAATAATGAATTAAAACTAAACTCTCTAGCTTATTATATTGTATTTTTATATGTAAATATAAATATTTATTTGTATGTCAATACTATCTAAAGTTATCTTGTCCTTATTTTTTAAATTTAAGGGTATATTGGTTGCTTTTTAATTAGGTCAAAGTTAAATTAATTACTTATTGATAAGAATTTTATCTATTTGTAGTTTGACCTTAAATAATTAATAAAATTATAAATTAAACATGCGATTGTGCTTAATCATATATAATATGTTTGTTTATTTTTAAATTAATATATAACTGTGTGATGTATATATATGTATATGTGCTTGCGTGCGCTTAAATATGTGTAAATAAACATTATTCTTATTAAGTCCTAGAATATCTAAAATAAAGATGTAAGATGTTAACAACTCATTTTTATATTGTATTCTCTGTTCTAGTAATCTTATGCATCATAGAAATGAGACCTTCTGGATTATATACTATCTCTCTAGCGAATGATGTTATAAAAATGAAACTGAATTCTGCTAATTACAGTTTGTTGATATTATAGACCATTGCGAAATAAACACCTATCCTGCAATCAGCAAATATGATGAAGTGTTTAAATGGGCTGTAATTTATTAATTTTTGTTTCCTTCAAAATCATAAAAACAATAATGACTAATGACAATTAATTAGTTAAAGGCCTTATTTGTAATAGAATCGCCAAAGAGATATCTGGTTTAATGATTTCATAATTTTGATTTTAAAATTAAGATTGTGGTATCCAAATTATATTTCCATATCACAAAATAATCACAGATAGAATTTTATTTTGATATTCTTATTCATTTGATAATAACTCAATTTAAAATGAATATGATTCTTGATTTCCTTTAAAGTAAATTTTATATAACTTAATTATCTTTTTTCTTTTCTTTTCCAATTATATTTTATTTTAAAAATTGAAAGATTGTTATATCTAATAAAGACATAACTAATTTATGATGGGAAAAAAGTTTCCGATGTTACTTTAGATAACTTTATCTAATGTTCATCGAAACGACGTCGTTTTGGGGTTAAAAAATTAAAAAATTAGAGTAATAAAGACTATTATAACCCTGAAATAAATTAAAATTACAAAAATACAATGATTTCCGTCCCAAAACGACGTCGTTTTGATGAACATTAGATAAAATTATCTAAAGTAATATCAGAAAAAACAAACTCTTATATGATACTGATAATCTTATCTGGGTAGATATACATATTATAATAAAAGGAATGAATACTATTACATTTTAAGACTAACGCATGTTATAAGTAGAAACAGGTTAAGCATTGTAAAAAGGGTTTGTCGTTTCTCCTTTCGCTGCTGATGAGAAAAGTTGCAATAAATTATTAACACTAGGATACACGTCCGGATCCTGGCCTAAAAAAAAAACACATCAGGATCCGGACGCGTATCCCGATAAAAATAAGTGTTGCTGCACTTTTTCCCATCTGCAGTGACAGAAGAAGTATATAACCCTTGTAAAAATTAAGTAAAATTAATTAAAGAGTAAATATTCTTTTTGGTCCCTAACAAAAAACACGGTCCCCACTTTAGCCCCTTATAAAAAAATTAGTCAGTTGGTCCCTATGAAATTCAAAGTGGACCCATTTTAGTCCTTTTGAGGGACTAATGTAGATTTTTTTTGAATTTGTGAGTGACCACGATTTTAACTAAATGAGTCCATTTTGAATTTGTTAGAGACCTCGAGACTAATTTTTTTTGTAAGGAACTAAAGTGGAGACCGTGTTTTTTTGTTAGGGATCAAAAAGTGTATTTACTCTTAATTAAAATATAATAATCACACGTATAAAATCCACTATCACAAATTGACAATACAATAAGATCAATCTACCTAGGTGTAAATAGGTTAGGCTAGGCTAGGCTTTGACTTAAAGATGCTAGGTCTGTGTTAAAAATATTGGATATGGTCTGGCCTGTTAGCCTGTGTAGGTCTCAAATTATAAGTCTGGTCTGACCTATATTTAAAAAATAAAAGCCTTGGCCTAAGCCTGTTAGTCTGTTTAAGCCTATTAAACATTCAACAATTAAAAGAATAATTAAAATAATATTACTTTATTTTTCAAAATTATTAAAATAATAATTTTATTTATTTTATTTAAAATAAATAATATAATATAGGCCGACCTGTAGGCTTATAGGCCCGATATGTACAAAAAAGTCTATGGCCTGTTTTCTAAATAGGTTTTCTTAAAAGTCTAGGCCTATTCTATTTACTATTTATAATAGGCCAAGTCTAGTCTAATATAGGCTAAGTCGTAGGCCCCTGTAGGTCGGCCTAGCCCATTTATACCCCTAAATCTACTAATTTTATGAATTGAATGAGAATAATTTTTCTTAATACACACTGATTTAATCCATTAAATTGTTCACTCATATTGTGAAGGTTACAGTTTGAGTATCTTGTCCTCTTAATAACAAAAATATTCTATATCCTCCATGGATAGAAGGACATTTCCCAATCATGGCAAAATATTTGGTATTGAATGCCTCATGTTAATGCTGCCAACAATGACTTGCTGTAAAATAAATTTGGTTATCTCGAAGTGATCTATATAAAGAAGAGCTTGTCTGCAAAAACCACAACAAAGAAAGTTTCCAATTTCCATATTGTTCTTTCTGTTTCCTTATCACCACCATCACTAGAAAGAAGGTGAAACTTGCCTTCATAGTAAATGACTCAGCAAGGAAGGCAACATTCAAGAAAAGGAAGAAGGGTCTAATGAAGAAGGTTAGTGAACTTAGCACCCTTTGTGGGATTGATGCATGTGCTATAATTTATAGCCCCTATGATCCTCAACCAGAGGTTTGGCCATCCCCATTGGGAGTTCAAAGGGTGCTTGCCAAGTTCAGAAGAATGCCTGAATTGGAGCAAAGCAAGAAGATGGTGAACCAAGAGAGTTTTATGAGGCAGAGGATCCTAAAGGCCAAAGAGCAGCTGAAGAAACAAAGGAAGGACAATAGGGAAAAGGAGATGACTCAACTCATGTTTCAGTACCTTAGTGCAGGTAAAATTCTTCACAATATAAGCATGGTTGATTTGAATGATTTGGCATGGTTGATTGACCAGAACTTGAAGGACATCAATAGAAGGATTGAAACATTGAACAAGAATGCTCAGAGCCAACCCCAAATGGCAACACCAGTGGTGACTGATGGAGTAGCCAAGATTGAAGAGAAGGCACAAGGGAGTGGTCATGGCCAGGGATTGGATATGAACATGGATGTCATGCAAAAGCAGAATTGGTTTGTGAATTTGATGAATAATGGTGGTGGTGGGGAAGAGGCACTGCCTTTTGGAGATGTTAATAACCAAAATGGCTATTGGCCAAATCCCTTTTTCCATTGAAAAAGGGTCCAAGTTTTCATTGTTTGATGTATGGTTATCATTGTAGATGCCAAAATAAGTGACCATGATGGATTGTCTACAACTGGCTTGTTTATTTCCTTGTTTCACCACTTTTTATTCTATCTTGTTTAAGAATGTTTACTTCTCAAAAAGTGTTTGATGGGTTGAATAAATACACTATTGGTGTTTTTTGTTTGAGATTTGGTATTCATTCAGAATGTTATTTTTCGTTGAGTATATCCAGATAAAAATGACAGTCCAAAAAATATTTATCCTATATATTTTATAATTTCTCATCACCTTCCATAATATAGCTAGGCTTTACTTGTTAAGCAAAATATAAAATTGAAATACAGAAATAGATGGTTCGAAAGTTGCATTCTATATTTTTTTTTTATGGAATTATTCATAAGCAACTAAATATTGATAGGTTAAGATCAGGACGGATCTAGAGGGTAATAATTAAGCGCCATGATTTGATAAACTTACATATAAATATTCATAATCTTTTAAAATGAATATTTATATTTTAAATTTGTGTGCTCTGTTTATACACATAAATTTATCTAGAAAAATAATTCATTGTTTGTTATTTTTATTAAAAAATTTAATTCATATCCGTTTTTGTTATTCTGTTTAAACTATGATTGAAGAGAGTAATACGGCGAAAAAATTAATAATTTCTTTTTCTCAGATGAATTATTAAATAAAAGAAAATTCAGCACGACAATTAGAGACTTAAACTCTCTTTTACAAACTCTTAATTAACCTTAAAATGCAATCAAAATGAAAAAACAAAACTGACAAGTAAAGACTTAAAAACCTACTTACAACTCACGTATACACACAATTTTAAACCAAGTCTAGGTGCATCAAAACTGACATTTGATACATTTAGTGATTCAGCCACGAAGGTTGTTCTTGTTGTATGATCAGTGTTTTACTTACATTTATTTCATATAAATCAACAATTATATTATAAGGGGAAAGTTATATTTACAAACTTTCTTTTTACAAACTCTTACAAATTATATTATCTGACCGGTAAGACACTCTTGAGTAGAGTGTTACCGGTCAGACATAATATAGTTTGTAAGTTTGTAAAAAAAATATTTGTCAATATAATCCTACTCATATTATAATAATATGAATAACTAAATGTTAACATCGTTGAGTTTTTTATTTTTTCCCTGTCTTCGAAGGTACAAGTGCCTAACTAAGCTAAGTAAAAGAAAAGAAAGGGTGATTTATTAGAGAATAAAACTTCCCATGCCAACACATCTCATGCAAAAAAATTGATATATTATTATTTTAATAAAAAAACACTTTAATCAAAAACCTTAAGGTGTTAGGTGATGGTCTTTTTTAATATTTTATATTATTCTCTAACACACACTCTCACGCAAGATTCCTTTGGGCTTGAAGTGTGGATATGACACAAGCTCCTTTTTTTTGGCTGACTTGTGTTTTTTTTAATTCCACCTGAAAGTAGGAGGTTTTTCTTAATTCCACTTGAAAGTGGGAGGCGGTGAGGATCGAACTTGCAACCTTATGGTTGCTAAAGCTCTGATACCATCTAAGAAATCACTTCAACCCAAAATCTTAATGTGTTAAGTGATGATTTTTTTTAATATTTTATATTATTCTCTAACATTTACGAATCTATTACACTCAGTTTTGTCTAATTTAAGTGAAACAAGTATCGCCCAACTTAGACAAAACACCTGAAAGAATCTCGCCTCACATTGACGAAACTAGTTTCGCCCAACTTAGAGGAAACACCCGAAGGAGTGTCGCCTCACTTGAGTGAGACTTTGTTACCTCGCAACTTCATTTATCTGTCTATTAAGTCAACAAGAGTTTTTTTTTTTTTTTTTTTGGTACATAAGTCAACAAGAGTTTTTATCAGCAATTACGAGTCATATATTATAACAATTCTATCCACTTAATATTTTGCACAACGAACAAATTTGAGACACATACCACATCAAATATTCCTTCGGCAGCCAAACAGTCCACATCAAATATATCTTCACTTCATATAATAATTCTCTCTTTGTTTTTGTTTTTGTTTTATTATTATTACTATTATTATTATTATTGTTATTATTATTATTATTATTATTGGGTTTTATAAGAAACTTCACATAAAAATATAAAATAAAGGGATTCCAATTAGCTTTGGTTCTATTACACCAATTTCCTTTGATTCAAGGTAAAATATTATTATTGGTTTTTTCCCCTTTGATTCAAGATAAAATATTCAGTGTGTAAAATGTTTCATCAACTAGAGATAAAATCATCATAAAAAATGAAAATCAAATAACACATTATCCAATGAATAATATGATATATGTAACCAAGTCAGTATATCAATGCCTTTTTGGTGCCAAAAAACAATGAAATTCCAGTTGATGTGGACTATATGCTTGCCAAAGAAATATTTGATATCTAAATAAACTCTTTTAATGACGTGACAACACATTATTAGACTATTAATATAAACAAAAATAATTTACATTGACAAAGGATCAAAATAAACTTCTTAAAAAGTATAATTCTGACGACCTGAGTCATTGGAGTGACATTGTAAAATTGGCTAGCTGAAAAGTAAGACTTTATGTTGTAGTTTATATGCTCATGTGCATGAGAAATTGTAGTAGTATATGATAGCCTTCATGGCATCCTTAATACTGTTGCAGAATGATTATTTAACGTTGGGTCATATTTATGATAGATCTGTGTATTCTTATATTGGTACAGGGTTTGTGGTCATTCTATAATGGAATTTACGACCATCCTACAATTCTTAATTTTGCATATTGTCATTGACTCCCTACGTGATCATAAAGTGGGTATAATATGTAACCCTAATTAGATAGATACATAGTCTCGCTCCACTAGTTTCGCTTCAGGTGTTTCGCCTAAGTTGGGCGAGATAAATTTCTCCTAAATTAGATGAAATTGAGTGCAATATATCCGTAAATTAGTTCAAAATGATTATATTTTCATAATTTTTTATTTAAATAATAATAAATTAATTCTTTTACCACACATCTCATCTAAGTTAAAGACTTGGAGTAGCTATGTCAATTTACCGACTTATAGTGATAACTATAAAGTTTTTTTTACTTTTTCTAGTACATGAAAAAAAAAAAATTATTAATGCTTGAGAATATACTGTGTAATTGTGATCAGCCGCAATCATATAATAAATGTGATATTTTCTATGAGTAAATAAAATTAATGTTCTTTATTAAAAAGTTAAAGTCTAAGAGTGTGCATGACAACCTTTCCGGAATCAATTTTTTTAATTTATGTTCTCGGGAACAGAAATGGATAGAAAACTCGTTTGGTAAAATGGATTTATTTTTTTTGTTCTCGAGATGAACCAGTTTAATTTTTGTGCAGGGGAACAGAAAAAAGAATCAGAAAATTTCTGTTTTTTTTTCCGGGCACAAAATGAGAAACATTTATCTCTCTCAATCACTCTCCACCTCTACCATCATCACCACTACCACCATCATCCCGACATGAACACCGCCACCATCGTCGTCGCCGCCGCCGTTGTACCACTAGTGTCGTTGTCACCACCGCCCACCACCACGATGTCACCGCCACCATCACCACCTCCTCCACCCATCACTACCACCATGACACCGTCACCACCATCACAACTACCACTGTCGCCACCACCACCATCAACATCACATCCGCTGCCGTCACTGCCACCACCACCATCGCCACCAGGACGCCACCACTATCATTGCCGCAGCCACTGCCGACACTGCCGCCGCCGCCACCAACCACCACCACCATTACACCACCCCCGCCACTACCATCACCACGCCGCCATCACCACCTACCGCCACCGCCACCACCACCTACCGCCACCGCCACCACCGTCGCAGCCACTGCCACTATCACCTCCACCACCATGATGCCATCACAACCACCACCACCATGCCACAGCTACCATTGTTGCCGCCATCAATGCCACCAACCACATACACCACCAACCACCATCTCTGCCACTATTGTCGCAGCCACTGTCGTCACCTCTACTACCACCATCTCCACCACTATCACAGTCGCCGCCACCATTACCATCGCCATCGCCGCAGTCATTGTCGTCCCAACGACCACCACTATCATCACCACGTCATTGCCACCACCACTACCGTACCGCCGCCGTCGTCACTACCACCATGCCATCCCCACTGCCACCACCACCACAACCACACCATATGCAAATTTATATTTAATAGGAATTATTTTTTATTATATTATTTGTTGTGTTATTAAACATAATGGAATAAAAATAGAACATGTTATCGAACACATTTTTTTTTTCAGAAACTTTTTCAAGGCACAGAAATAGAAAAAAATTATTTCTTTTCAGAAACAGTTCTTGAAAATAGAATGATTGTCATGCACACTCTAACTGACATGGAATAAAATCTTGTACCAACATGTATGAGATGCAAGGAACTCGATATTTTTTTAAGTAAAATTTTATATCTAAATTTATAAATGGAAAAAATAGATGTTGAAAGAAATCTTTATAAAAAAAAATTAAGGTTAAAAAATTGATTTGTGTTTGAGAATAATATTTTAAGCATAATAAAAAAATTAAAAAATGATAAAATAAAATGAAAACGTGATAAAATACGAATAAGATAAATAAATAAAAACGAAATTTTCGGTTGGTTTGAATGAAATATTATTTTTCTACACTTTGTTTTTGGTTTGCACCAGGAGCATCCGCACATTTATGGTTGGACCTAATATCTTATGGCGAATCAAGGACTATTCTAATAGCCCAAAAGAAAATTTATAATAAAATAATTTTTTTATAATAAAAAAAAGTCAAAAGCCAAAAGAAAAGCTTTTTTTAGATTGTATTAGTTTTTTTTTTAAAAAAACAATTTTTAAGTTAAAAATTATTTATAATTATCAAACAACTTTTAGATTTATTTTTAAAACTTTTTTTTTTAGCTTTAACTTAAAATAACTTTTAGCTTAAAAAAAATGTCAAACAAGCTCTTATTGTATATTGGATGAGTTTTTTCCTTCTATAAAAAGTTTTTTCTTTTAAAAAAAATTATTTTAAGTCATTTCAAGTGTTTGGATAACAACTTTTAAAAAATGTAATTTAAAAAAGGTTAAAATAACTTTTCTTTAAAGTTAGGATTCCTTATTTCTGAAAAAAAAAAAGCCAAAAGTTAAAAGTCAAATAATTTTTTGAAAATCTAATTTTATTACAACTCCACTATCACAAACATCATCACATATCTTTTTTAGTAATTTTATATTTAAAAAATACTTATTAATTTTAACATTCAAATATATTTTTTTGTTTAAAAATACTTTTTATATATTCCATCCAAGCATAAAATAATTTTAATTTTAAAAAAAAAATTATTCTTTAAAAAAAAGTCATACAAAATCCTTTTCTTTTTAAAGCTCATCCAAATGGAATTTTTTTTAAAGCCCATTCAAATGATCTCTTATTATACTCTCTACCTGTTGGGTTGAAAAGCCTCTTACCCGCCACACAACCCAACTAACTTTGGGGTAGGTTTGTTTTTCTTTTCTTTTTTGGTATGCGGGTAGGTTTGTTTTTTCTCTAGTTTATTCTTCTTCTTTTTTGGTAATATTCTAGTTTATTCTTTTGATTGTTATACCAATTTACATGTACTTCGTTTAAATTAATATATTATTCAACAAAAAAATTTTAGCATTTTTCGTTTTTAATTAATTAAAACAAACCAACCAATAATTATAAAAATTACAAGACCTTGAATTCCTCAGTGTACTCAAATAATATGTAGCCATGAATGAAATGTTTATTTTGTATAAGTTCAATTCATATTTTAATCTTTTATATTTATTTTAGGGTTATATATGTATTATGTAACAGGAAAGTTACTATTCATTCCTGCACACACAATATTAACACGGGGCTCACAAGGTTTTTTTTCCTTTCACTCATCTGACTTTCTCTCTCTTCTGTTTTGTATATACAGGAATGTTACTTTAAATTTTGTAACATTACGAACTCATTTCCCTTTATTTTATTGTTTCTTGTAACTATTTTTTTTTCATGGATCATATTTATTTCTTATTTTGCTTGTAAATATAATGATTTAATTTTCTTGATCATTTGTTACAATGGGATATATTTAATATATATTTTTAGGTACATATATCTAATAAGTTTAAATTATTATAATTTACACGATTAATTTTAAAACAAATCTTTTAGATTAAATGAATAAAGAATATAGCATAATTTAGTTTTTAATATTTTTCTGTATATTACCCAAATATCGAACCTAACTTGAAATGGTCAAACTTCTTTATTTTAAAACATTGCTATGAAATATTATATTAATTTCTTACCAAATCAAATACAATTGGTGCCAATTACTATTTAAAAAGAAGAGGAAAAAGAAAAAAATGGATATCCGATCCGTGTGATTCCACTCGTAACATGTCTCAATTTTCCAAAAAAAATAAACTTGAAAGAATCAATTGAATGTGTGTATCTTTGTACAACAATGAATTTTGTTACTACAACAAGGCCTATAAAGAAAAATATAAATAAATAAATCTCATTTGTCATAAATCAGTAATTAAAAGAGCTATTTAAGGTACTTGAGATCCAATGATGAGTCAACGCACTCTGCTTTGCTCTTGTAACCATTCAACAATTTCAACAACTCGCTAGCATTCTTCCTTGTGATCTCATCACAACCAACCTGCAACACGACCAAGAGTTTCTGAAAAGCCCCAACTTGAAGTGCCTCAATCAAAACCCCTTCCTCCCTATTGTCACAAATAATCTTCCAAATAATAGAGACTGCAAAACTTGAAGCCAATTGGGACACCCTCAAAATCTTCTTAATTGCAAGAGGCAATGTTAAAGCATTGTTCTTAGCAACCTCCTTCCCTTTTTGGTTGTCACAAATGCAATCCAACACCCCAAGTGCCTTCTCACATATCCCTTTATCTGCATCAACAATAATCTCTAGCAGCAGTGAAACAAAACCCAATTCCACAAATCTTTGAGCAATTGCATCTCTATTCTCTGCTGAGGAAACCAAGTTGAAAATTGTGGCCAAACATGCCTTTGTAGCAATAGGTCCAATAGGTTCCCTAACCATCTTAACCAAAGCTTCAACAACTCCTTCAGTTTTAGCCAATTCCTTAACAGGCACTTCCTTCAGCAACAAAGCAGCACTTTGCCTTGAAGCAAGGTTTTTACCATCAAGAAACCAAACCATGCAATGTAAAGAAGATTCTGAACCCAACTTGGATAATAATTGACTCTCTTCACCAAATGGGATCATCCATGCCAACACCTCCAAGATCTCCTCCAAAATAACCACATGTTTTTCAATAGATGATGCACTTGAAAAAGAATCAAAGGCATTGGCAAAAACAGAACCAACCCCATTTCTCAATAAGCACATCTTGTTCCTCTCACTCTCTCTCCCCCAAACCTTGATCTTCCCCACCAATTCTTGGCACCTCTTTTCATCCCCACGCTGAGAAGCAGACAGAATCCTCGAACAAACCTCGGAAACCTCGTAACTTGACACGGGTATACGAGGTGTTGGGATCCTTTCGACACCATGGGAACTGTTTTCAACACACCAATCCTGAATCATCCTCCGAATGGCATGGTTTGGGATCATGTCAAAGCTTGTAAGAACCTGATTCGTAACTGGGCAAGTTTTGTTCCCTGCTTCAGTCCACTTCTCAATACTCTCCCTGTCGTAGGTGATGCCAGTTGATAGAGTCACCGGGTCTTTCATCAATTCCAAACTCACCGGGCACCGGAAATGGGTGGGGATCACAATCTCCACCTCCAAATCACCACCGGGAAATTGTTCCTTCCCCTTGCGTGCACGCCGGAAAACATTTCTTCTGGTCCAAGACAAAACCATTTTTTCTGTCTTTCTCTTTTGTTACTCTAAGCACAGAAACTATAAAGTCTCAGTTTTTTTTGTTTTTGGTTGCTTCTATGTTTTATGAATGATTTGAGGAAAACAAGGTTGCGTGGTTGGTTTATATATAACATAAGGATGGTCATACATAAGTGGGTGTGGGACGCGGGTCAAAGCTAGGTAGTGGTTGAAGAAGGAAAGTTTCAAATCAAATAATGAAAGAATAATAAAGTTTTTTTTTTTTTTTAATTTTAATTTTTAGTAGGTACATAGAGAGTATTTGAATATTGACCGTTGAAAGTTTGAAGATATAGAGGTCGAGGTTTATGAATGAATTGAAGTTGAAATTATATGATTTGTGAATAAGGAATAAATAATGAGAGAGAGAGAGTAGGTCACAGTTGTACTTATAAGACGGTCTCAAGTTTGAACGGCATAACGTGAGTGCTGACTTGCATGGGTTTGGCCTTTTGGACCAGAAAGATTCTTTATGGTATCCTGCGCGTGCCACCACTGTGTCCGTGTAACGTGTGCGTGTTCGCGAGCCTCTTTGCACCAGACGCGTAGGCGCAGTGACTTCTATTTACATGACTAAAAAAAAGGTGATTAAGTCATAGTATGTGAAAAATGTTAGACAACTATATGTATAAATACAGTTACCCAATTTTTTTTTCTTATGCTGACCTTAATTAACTTTTTAAAGAGATTCGGGTACTTAAGTATTTTCACAAGCTTAATCATAATTAAAGTAGATGCAGAGCCAGCATAGTAACTCAGTCATTACTAAAAAATTTTTTAGCCCGCATCAAATACTAAATTCTATTATTCAGCCTAGTTACGTTTATTTAGTCACGTCTAGTGACAGAGTCACGTTGGTGTCAGCAGGTACCTTGACACTGATTAATTAAGTCACGTTTCAAGCGTAGCTAAATAAACGTAGCAAATTATGTTTCAAATTTTTTAAAAATTAGCTACATTTTGGACGTAGCTATATAACCGTAACTATTTTGACACCAGTTAAATTTTTTGACAATAACTAAAATACTTTGCTGGCTCCATCACTAGTCAAGTCTAAAACATGACTAATTTTTAAAAATAAGCTAGGATCAAGATATTGGCTGGAGCCAACATGACTTCATCATTGATTAAAGCTCTTGCTCTCTCTCCAAAAAAATATATCTAATGGGAATCAAATTTGAGTTTTCTCCTTATTTACTCAACTTGTGTTGTGAACTACATTGGGTTCAGTTACAAATTTTACTATTGACTTGGATAAGCATTCATTTCTTAAAAATAAAACAATACCAATTTATATATGGAGGTGCAAAACATAAAATGAAACTTTCCTGAATATGTTATTTATGCAGAAGCAAAAGAATATGTTATTTACGTAGAAGCAAAAGAATTTTGTCTTATATATATATATATATATATATATATATATATATATATATATATATGAGATAAGATCCTTTGACACCGGTGTCAAATTTGAAGTTTGACACCTCACCTGAGAGCCGTTAGATCAAAAAAGATCAACGACTCTGATTTGTAAGCATGTGACACCATTGATCTTTTTTGATCTAACGGCTCTCAGGTGAGGTGTCAAACTTCAAATTTGACACTGGTGTCAAAGGATCCTACCTCTATATATATATATATATATGGGCTTAGTGAGTGTACAGTGACTGGATGTAAAAATCGGTCCAGTGTGTTCTCCCGCGAGAACACAGTTATAGTAAAATTATAACTATGTTCTCCCGAGAGAACACCATTGTAATATTTTTGCGCTATGTTTTCGCGGGAGAACATAATGCACTGGATCGTCCAGTCACTTTATTTTCATTTATATATATATATATATATATATATATATATATATATATATATGAGGTAGGATCCTTTGACACCAGTGTCAAATTTGAACTTTGACACCTCATCTCAGAGTCATTAGATCAAAAAAGATCAACTACTCTGATTTGTAAGCATGTGACACCATTGATTTTTTTGATCTAATGGCTCCTAGATGAGGTGTCAAAATTCAAATTTGACACTGGTGTCAAAAGATCCTACCTATATATATATATATATATATGTATATATATATATATGGGGCAGGATCTTTTGACACCAGTGTCAAACTTTAAAATTTGACACCAAATCCTAACCGTTGATTTTCGTCATCAATGGTTATCATTTATTGGGAATTACACTTATTAATTAATCATCAATTGCCAATAAATGATAACCGTTGATTGGCAGAAATCAACGGTTAGGATTTGGTGTCAAATTTTAAAATTTGACACCAGTATCAATGGATCTTATCCCTATATATATATATATATATATATATATATATATATATATATATATATATGAGGTAGGATCCTTTGACACCAGTGTCAAATTTGAAATTTGACACCTCATCTGAGAGCCGTTAGATCAAAAAAGATCAACGATTCTGATTTGTAAATATGTGACACCATTGATCTTTTTTGATCTGTCGGCTCTCATATGAGGTGTCGAATTTCAAATTTGACACTGATGTTACCCCCTCTCTCTCTCTCTATATATATATATATATATATACATATATATATATATATATATATATATATATATATATCAGTTCAACTAATGAGGTAGTGATTTTACTGAACACATTTGTGTAATATGTATATTGGAGACTTGAGAAGCACCGCCAATATTTTGCAAGCATAAAATATAGTCATGAGTTATGGATCTCAAATCATTTCTAATCTTTAATTGCTCTTCTTCCTCTTTCTCCGATAAAAGTTCATATCTATGTAATCAAATATTTAAATCCGTGTTTACGTACATTGACTTAAAAAATTGTTTGGATGCAGGGATGTTTATTGTATATCTTTGTTAGGTGAGGTGCAGGGGAACAGCTATAACCACCTTGCATTCCCATTTCTTAACTCGTTAATTTCTTCCCTCGGTTCTTATGCAAGAGTCTATAAAACCTCGTTTTGAGAATTAAATACATCATTCAACACACATCTTCGTTGAACTTCAACCTTGGTACGTACATTATAGATATAGTTTTGGCCACACAAAATCTTCTTAATTTGCTATAACATAGGTTTTTTGCCCAAATTAAATAAAGCTCATTACTATATGAGGATTATGTTGTCCGAATAAAAACAAAATGGATTAATAATTCTAGACGCTATATATCTTGATTTCTTAGAGGGTGCTGACATCTCCTTAATAATCACGATTTCTCTCTAATCAATTGATATGGAAAAATATCTTCATGAATTTGACTCAGGGTATTTTTAAAATAAACCTTGTTATTTTGGGGATGAACCCCTTAACTTAAGATTGTTCGCAAGACGCATGGGATCTGAGCAAGTGATGGTGAGAGCATGTGTTCAATCCTTTTCAGTATCACTTTTGGGAGGAATTTAAAGTCTTAATCCTGGACCCGTCCCGAATCAGATTAGTCACAAAGCGATGAACCAATTGAAATATTTAAAAAAAAAAAAAAAAAAAAAACTGTTCGCAAGATGCCCACAAGGCCACAATGGTGTGGGGTGTGTGTAGTGTAAGATGTTGTGTTCAATTCCTTGTAACCTCCAAAAAAAAAAAAAAACAATGCCAGGGAGCGGAGAGTTAAGAAGGGAGATATTTTGAGATTCTTGCACAGTGCAAATTATTCTTTGGGCTTAAAATATCTAATTGGGCTTGGACCCAATTCTGGTTTTAGATACGTAAATGATATGGCGCATTTAAAAAAAATCTATTAAGGAAAAAAAAGACTAGGAATATTGTATGAATATGATGTGAAGTATTAAAAAATACTATGTAGTAAAAAAAATAAAAATCCAACTTCTCACTTGAATCAGTAATTGTTAATATTATTTTATTTTCTTCAAACTCATTATATAAATTTACGTTTCTCCCTTAGTTTCCTTTTTCATATCTGAAGATCTTCTCCTTCCCGTTTTGTTGAATTAATACATAAGAAGTTAGAGGAGGTAGAATAATTGAATGTAAATTCTGTTATGTAAGTTTTTTAATGTACATTTTGTGAATAAGTAGATAATGCGAAAGGGTATACTTCCTTAGTACGATCTCACGAAACAAATCTCACATGAAAAAGGAAACAAAATCAGAACAAATAATATCTATCAGATTCGAGAGCAAAAACGACAAGAAGATAAAGCTACTTGCGAATTGACAGGTGCTAAATTGCTGCTGGCCCATATAAGCCACGTATGAATCCTACTATTAAATTTTTAGGCAGGCAGCGAAAACAATATAAAGGACTGCAGGAACAAATTATATAAATGCTAACTAAGTAACTTTTATCCATAACAATATAAAGATGATGTTGAATTATTACATTTTTAAAATATGAATATGAATGTGCATTTTAATGTATTGGATCGTTTGGTAAATGGATAAATTTTAGATTCCCAAAAAACTCATATTAGAAATTATAGTTATTCACGTTTGATACAAGAATTCTTAAAAAATTTCTGAAAAAATGAGGTTCCTAAGAATTAAAAAGTGTGAATAAGAAACTCATGAAATAATACCACTAGGTAAGTGATATTCTTGAATTCCCACCTAGTGGAAAAATGTTACATAATTTACACAACATAAATAACCTCGCTTTAATATTTTCATTACTAAAATATCCTCTCTTGTTAAAACCCTAGCCGTGATACTCTCCTTCACAAAATTATGGGTTCATTTCTTTCCTTTCACGATGACTTTACTGGGTTCGTTTACACTTCACGTCGCTTCGCTCCGGTGACACCAACGCCATGATCGTCCGGTTACGACATTGAATCAACAACCACGATCTCTGCTTCACGTCGTTTCCCTTTCACATTGCTTCACGTCGCTTCCCTTTCACATTTGCTTCGCTCCGGTGAGTTCTCTTCCTCTGTAAACACAAAGTTTCCCTTTAGTCTTTCTAATGAATGTGCCTGTCTTTGTCCTTTGACTCTCTGTCCAAGAATACTTCCAAAAATTCATTTGAGAAATTTGGATTCGATCTCTAATGCGGCATTTTGACTCTTTTGTGGCATATCAGAAAAAAAAAATTCAAAAATTCCTTATAGGATAGTTAATTTAAAAGGTTGAAAAGAAACTTCAATTTCTTGATGCGTTTCCTTTTTTCTAACTTAAAAAACATAAGAATTCCTAAAGTGACATATGGAAGCCAGTTGGAAATGGTTACGCGCATTTCGGCTCAAGATCCATTTGCCTTTTGCCACCAATTTTGCTTTCTCTTTTAGGATTTTTTTAATACAAAAAGTGTGAAGTTATACTGATTAATAAAATATTATAATAAAATACTTATACGTATATAACAAATTATAAAATTACTAAAACTCATTCTGCTAATGTTTCAACTAACAATCATAATTGTATACTTTTTGTACGCAAGCGGCAAATAAAAAATTCACATGTCTTATGCAAATTCTATTATTATTGACTTTTTTTTTTATTTGTTTCCCTTTTATAATAGCAAACCTAATACTAGTATTGGAAATGTGTCGTGACGACTACGAGTCAAATACTCCTTTAACACTTATTGTGTGTACCCCTAATTCCCATACTACAATGTTTTTTTTTTTTAATTAGTATTATTCTGGATATACTATATAACTTAGTCCCATTATGTATTGGATACTACATCTACCGCTATGACTGATTTCTAGGTCGAAGCAAACTATATAATCACAACTTCGCATTATGTCCAAGTAATGTCATCAAGTATATTACTACAGCCTACAGGTACGATATCTAGTGTCTACAATTATTAATACTAGCTTTTGAAACATTATATCCCTTTTTTATATTTTTTTCCCCAAGATTTGTGTTATGGAATGACTATGTAATTGTACTTGTACTTTTTTACAAGTGCTCGTATTAGGTTTATATTTATATCTTACATATATCATTAATATTTATGTTTTCGTATTAGTCTTGTATTAATTTTATTGTTCTTTATACAATCCATGCCCCCTCCTATAATTTTGAAATTTTAAAATTTCGTATCGTGTGGTGTTCTGTCATACATGTGCATCTTAGTTCACAGTTACGTGACTTGCAGCAACATGACTCATCAAAATAATATTTAAGGCTTTCTTTACCTGCTTTCATACCTGTCTAATTTGTCCATTTCACAAATTCAAGCTTATCCAAAACTGCATCATATGCGGCAGATTCACAGGACCATTGAAATGACAGCTACTTTTCGGATTGAAGTAGTTAGTAATCACAAATCAGTATGAAATTTTTTGAAATCTCTTCAATACACAACGAAACAGATTTTCATTGTGATGTTGATGTTGATACACAAGGAAACATGGATGTAATACAACTTGTAACGCATTGGTTCAAAATAAATGTAATATCATGTAAATGAATTAATCATGATATTTGATCTAAATCTCTGAATATTAACTCACGGACAAAAACAAGAACTGAAATGAGAAATTAATACATATCGTGCTAAGAATCTAATCTCAACTTAGCAGTCTGTAACCAAACGCTGAAGAAGTGTAAGATTAACCGTGGAAGAGACTACAACAAGAAAAATGATACACAAGTTCAAGTAGAAAAGCAAGCAAGAAGCAAAGAGAATGAAATTACAACACCACATAACCATCATTACAATTACAATTATTTACAACAAAACGTTATCACCTACCATCTGCTGATGTGAAAGACTCGGCAAATCCATATGGACGCGTAGGAATGCTTGTCTGTGTGTTATCCAAGCTTGGAAGGAGTGAAGAAGAAGATGATTCCATTTGGCTTCTACCTTCATAAGCCTGCCACTTCTTGAGTGCTTGTGGTAAAGACATATCTAAGTCAATTACATATATATCTTCAGAACTGTGATCAGATGGTTTCCATTGTTCTACAAGAGAAGAAAGCACATTAACTGCATGACCCGCGTCAGGTCTTTGATATGGCTCCCTAGCACAGCAATGGCTAGCTAACTCAGCTACTGTGTGAATACTAGCAAGCGTTTCCTCGTTGAGCTCGATTGTGCGGTCAATGGCCTCGCGGAATGTGTCCTTATTTATGTACATTCTACGGAACCATGTTACAAGATGCATGCTATCCTCTGGCTGGGTCTCATCAAGTGCTCTTCTTCCAGATATCAGTTCCATCAATATTACCCCAAAGCTGAACACATCAACTTTAGTTGTCACACGACCAGTAACTGCAAGCACATAGCATGGCTGTGTTAGAGACATTTGCCTAAAAAACAATCAATAGCAAAGAAAGATAAAAACAGAAACAAGCAAAAAAATTCAGATAAGACACACTCACTCATTACAAATGTATCACACCATCCATGGATAATAAGACCAAGCCCGGGTGAGGTGTATAATTTCTAAAGCACCTAATAATGAATGTCTCAAATGTAAAATACAGACCAATTGCATTCTTAACTTTCTAGTAACAGGATGAATTTGTAATGAGAGTTAAGATTCCCAGGTCTCATTACGGTGGCAGAGAATATCACTAACCTATATCTCTTTCCCGGTGAATTGGAGAAAATATTGAAATGAAGTTTATTACTCAATTGTTACAAGAAAACATGTCTTATTACCTTCCTAACATGAAATGAATGTCGCCTATAAATCACATAATAGCAAATCAAACCAAACCAATATCTATAGATCATGATCAGACTATCTCTACTTGCTTCTTTGGGAATAATTCAAAATGATCTAGCTCACAAAGAACTTGCAAAGGGAAGGGGAGAAAAAAACAAAAAAGATACCTGCATATTCTGGTGCCAAATATCCAAAAGTTCCTGCAATTCTTGTTTCTATTGAAGCTTTTCCTTCGGGAGCAAGACGCACAAGACCAAAATCTGAAACCTTAGCCCTCATATCATCTCCAAGGAGAATATTTGAAGGCTTTAAGTCCCTATGTATAAAGCTTTGATGGGCCAAGCTATGCAGATACTCAACAGCCCTTGCCACATCCAAGGCAATGGTTAATCTTCTATTCCACTCAAGTGGTTTCAGTCCTTCTTCTAACCAGTTGAATAAATGTCTACTTAGTGTCCCCTGAGGCATGTACTCATACACAAGAAGTTTTTCGTTCCCATCCAAGCAGTAACCAAGAAGAGAAACAAGATGCCGGTGGCGAACCTTAGTCAAAACAGCAATTTCAGACTTAAATTCTGTTGCACCTTTCCCAGTTATTGCCCCACACTCCATTCTTTTCACTGCAATTTTCGTACCATCATGCAGTTCCCCTTTATAAACTGTTCCAAACCCACCTTGTCCCAATATATTTTTCTCGCTGAAATTGTCCGTGACATTCCTCAGGACTTGTATAGAAATTACCATGTTTCCTGCTTCAACCATCTGGATGTCCCCTGTCTCACTTCCAGGTACGGTTTGGGTTTCACTAACAGCACCAACACTGACACTTGAGCCTGCAACTGTTATCTTCACACTTTCATTATCTGATCCAGAATGACGGGGGTGAATAACTAGTGCATTCGGGCTCTGTACCCTGCTTAACCGCTTTCGCTTCATCCTATACAAGCAGAAAACTAAGAAACCAATCACCAAAACCAACACTACACCCCCAATCACGGCAATCAAAATTACTCCTAAATGGGAAGATTTTTTGCTGCCATTTTCTTCCCTTGTGTTTGGAGCTGTTGAGTTTGGCGATAGTGGACCTATAGGAGTTGGGCTGGGTTTATCTTTTCCTATATCCTTGTTACCACTTGTGTTAACCATCACATTGCTCTTAAAATTTGGGACTTTTCCATAAAGCTGATTGTTTGCAACATTCAATTCAGTAAGCTCAGGCAGAGTAGTAAGCTCCCCCGGAATTGAACCAGTGAGATTATTATCAGCAAGCACCACTCTTTGCAGTGATTTAAGTGAGGCAAAAGCTGGGGATATTGTACCCGTAAGACCCATCTTCTGAAAATTAACAACAGTAATGTTCCCATTATTACAAGTAATCCCAAACCAATCAGCACATGGATCATTCCCCTTCCAACTCTCAGCAAACCTTTTGGGATACCCCATAAACTGAACAATAGAAAGCATAATCTTCACCCTGGGATCACAATCACCAGGGCCCGACAAGCAAAAGCTATTCGAATCCTTAGTCAAATCGACCTCTACCCCAGAACCAAACACAGGCACTGGCCCCTGAAACAAGTTATTAGTCAAGTTCACAACTTTAAGTGACTTAAGGCTCACCAATGAACCAGGAACAGGACCAGTAAAAGAGTTATCTCTCAAGCTCAAATCTTGCAAGCTTTGTAAGCCTGAAAAGTCTGGCAAGGGCCCAGTAAACGCATTGGAATGTAACCAAACCTGAGTTAAGGAAGTCATGTTTTGTAGAACCTCAACAGTGCCCCCAAGAATAGCATCACCCTTTTGCCCATTCAACCACAGAGTCTGAACCTGCGACCCAGAAAAGCTCAAAGGCAACACACCCTCGAGGCTATTGAAGGCCAAATGCAAATGGGTCAACCCAACAAGTTCAGAAAAATCTGGGATTTTGCCCATGATGTTTGCTGAATTAGCTGAGAAGTTCACAAGAGACGAAGCATTTCGAAGGCTATCGGGGATTTCCCAACTTTTGAAAGGGTTGTTGTCGATCTCAACAGATTGAAGCTGAGACATGCCAGCGAAGAAATCGCTGGGTATGGAAGTGAACCCGTTGTTACTAAGGATGATAACTTGGAGCGAACTCAACCCGCTCAAGGTTGGAAGAGGACCCGAAATGTTGTTAAATTGGAGCTCCAAGCGCTCCAATTGGGTCAGGCTTTGGAGGGTGTTGTTGTTGTTGTTGTTAGGAAGCGTACCTTGAAGGCCTTGGCGACCGATTTGTATTCGGGTGACCCGGCTGTCTTCGGAGCAAACGACATGGTTCCACTTGCATGGGTCGGACCCGGTCCAACCAAGAGATTCGGGTGGGTTGAGGGTGCTCTTGAGAGCAAGCATTGCAGGGGCATCTTGTGAAATGGGTTGTGAGTTGGCATAGAGGATGAGTGAAAGGAACATGAACCCAGATAAGAAAATGGGGAAAGTTTTGAGCTTTGCGATGTGGGTATTCATGGTGGTGATGGTGGTGGTGTTGTTCACTTGAAAGACACACACACACAGAGAGAGAGAGAGAGAGAGAGAGAGATGGAGAAGGAACGAGAATGGGGGCGATAATAGGTGCATGGAGCAGAGTGAGTAATGAAGCACATGGTATTGGGACCACACATCGAAAAATCCGGCTGGCATGATTCATTACACTGCCAAAAAAGAAAAGTGAGACCCATTCGCCAACTGGGCATCTTCAATAGTTTAAGAGATCTTAAATTTTTATATTTATTCAGTTTAATTGATAATTATAATGAGAACATGCTATTCCTAATGTGGTACAAATACTTTTCTTTTTCTATTTAATATCTTGTTTATTTAATAGATACCTGAGCTTCTACTTCTACTGTATATACAATTTCTTTTAAATGCCATAAACAATTTTAATTTACTATCTCCTATCCCATAAACAAATAACAAAAGCTTTAAAATTTGAATCGTTTCAAGTGCCATAAATCAATTCCACATAATTTTCCTCTTGGAGAGAACAGATTTTTGCCAATTATTATCATAAGCGATACATCATAACGTAAAAATGTTAAAATTAGCAAATCACAAACTTGCTATTCTAATTTGAAAAGCATAATTAAATTCTTCACTTGTCTATGGGGTTCAGGAGATAGTAAAATAAAATTCTTCCAGATTGATAACTTCTAAGACCAACATATATTGCATGCTCATATGATCTCTGAACCTGATTCTGCTTCCTATTTTTTTTTATTTTTTAGCTTATTCCTTGGTGGCTCATGCATGAATCAATCTTCAGTCTATGTTGTATGCGCAGGATACATGGTCGGGAGAAATCCATGCTGCAGCGATTATAGGTGCACCCTGGTTAGGCCTTCAAATTAAAGTTTGCAATATGTTCAAAGCAACTTACAGATCGAGCAATATGATTTTGACCATGTTGGTAGCAAAAAGAAATTTTTTTTTTTTTTTTGAGTTAACCAAACTCTAATTATTTTTCTGAGGCAAGTTGGTTTTTCTGGTATCCCCACAAGCTTCGACTCTTTGAACTAGCTATGAGACTAATCCGGAGTGTGAGGCGGGTTAGAGATGAAGATATTTAAACCCCTCCCAAATATGACAATGGAGATAAAATTGAAGTCCTTTCCTTTCCAATGCCCAACTATTTTTCTCTATTACATAGACTATTAGGGTGTGCATGACAATCTTCCCGGAATCAATTCTTTTTTAATTTCTGTTCCCAGGAACAAAAATGGATAGGAAACTCGTTTGGTAAAATCGGTTTATTTTTTTGTTCCCGGGATGAACCAGTTTAATTTTTGTGTTGGGGAACAGAAAAAAGAATCAAAAAATTTCTGCTTTTTTGTTCCCTGGCACAAAATGAGAAACACTTATCTCTTTCAATTACTCTCCACCACCACCATCATCTCGACATGACCACCACTACCATTGTCGCCGTTGTCGTCGTACAACCAGTGTCGTTGTCACCACCACCACGATTCCACCGCCAGCATCACCACCACCTTCACCCATCGCCACGTCACCACCACCATATCACCACAACCACCTCCATGCCACCACAACCACCGCCACCGCCACTATTGCTGCAGCAACTGCCGTTACCATCACCACCATGTCACTGTCGTCAACCACCACCACCGCCACCACCACCATCACTATCACCACAGCCATTGTCATCACCACCACCACAACACCACTGTCACTGCCACTATTGCTCCAGCCACTGCCGTCACCATCACCACCACCACCATCGTCGTAGTCACTGCCATCACCACCGCCGCCACCACCACCAACTACCACCATCTTCATTACAACCACCGCCACCATCGCCACCATCATCACCACAGCCACTGTCGTCACCACCACACCACGCCACCACCATCACCGCCTCCGCCACTATTACTCCAGCCACTGCCGTCACTATCACCACCATGCCACCGCAACAAACCACCACCACCATCGTTGCAGCCACTGCCATCACCACCATCGCCACCATTACAACCGCCACTGCCACCAACTACCACCACCATCGTCGCAACCACGGTTGTCTCCACCAACTACCACCATCGCCACCACCACCATGTCATTACCACCACCGTCGTCGCCACCATCATCACCACAACCACTTTCGTCATCACCACCACCACTACCACCACCGTCGCCACCGCCACTATTGCTCAAGCAACTGCCATCACCACCATTACCACCGCCATCAACTACCACACCGTCGTCGCAACCACTGTTGTCTTCACCACCACCATGTCATTACCACCGCCGCTGCCGCCACCACCATCATTTCCGCCACCACCACGACGCCGCCATTGTTGCCGCCACCACCACACCATAAGGAAAAGAAAGTGTAATTTGAAAAAAAAATTATGCTTAACAGGAGTTATATTTTATTATATTATTTATTATGTTATCAAACACAATTCTCATTCTCGGAGTAAAAATAGAACATGTTATCAAACATATTTTTTTTCTCAGAAACTGTTCCAAGGCACATAAATAGAATAGAATTGTTTCTTTACAGAAACAGTGCCAGGGAACAGAATGGTTGTCATGCACACCCTTACTCGGGTGTCTGGAATTTTTTTGACCAAATCTCATTCAACGAGATGTCATTGCATAAATCTCGAAAAATTGTGTGGAATAAAAAAAAATTCACCTAATTCGGACACCCAAATAAAAAGTTATGGCTTTTCGAAGTTGTGTGTTCAAATTGTTGACTTTTTTTGTGTCACATATCGTCACCGGATGAGTCGTGCCAATGTGGGGCATGACTTTGCACAGATTGCGCCTATATAAGGAGTGACTTGTTGCATCTAGAGCTGGCAAAACGGGCTCAGCTCGGCGGGCCAACCCGCCCAATCCGCTAAACGGGGCGGGACGGGCTGAATTTTTCAACCCATCTCAAAAGCGGGGCGGGCTCATTTTTTGGCGGGTTGATGGCGAGCATAGGCGGGGCGAGGCGGGTCAGTGTAAAATAGGATCGGGCTGGCAGGCTAACCCGCCCAACCCGCCAAACGGGGCGGGGCAGACTGAGTTTTTCAGCCCACTTTCAAAAGCGGGGCGAGGCGGGTTGACTCATTTTTTGGCGGGGTAGGGCGGGGCGGGGCGGGCCGCCCACTTTGCCACCTCTAGTTGCATCTACCAGAGACGCGACATTCATATTTTCATAATTTTTTTATTAAAATAACAATTTATTAAATTGTTTGGAAAAACTTTATTTTCACCTATTGTGATTTTGTGATTTATCATTTCATCTCTTGTGATTTTAAACTTATCACTTAAACCCATTATACTTAAATAATTTATCATTTAACTCCTTAAGGTTTCAGATTTTCACTTAGACCCCTTATGGTTACAAAAACAAAAATTTAAAAAATAAATGTTCCCTCTTTTTTATTTATATATCCTCACCTAATGCATTTAGGGTTTAAAAAATAAATAAAATTTAAAAATTCAATTATTTTTATCAAGAAAATAAATTCAAATCAAATATTATTATTTTTTATCTACTTTTTACTCGATATCATTGTAAAATTATCTAAAAAGGTAAATATTTTATTTTGATAATACATATTTAATTTATCTTAAAAAATATTTTTAATTTCAAATATATTTTAAAATAAATAAATAAATAATGATAATTTATAAATTAATTTAGAATAAATAACTTGAAATATTTTTTAAACCCTAAATGCATTACATGAGGATATAAAATAAAAAATAGATAAAATCTATTGTAAATATCTATTTTTTAAATTACAAGGTGTCTAAGTGAAAGTTTTTGTAACCATAAGGGGTCTAAGTGAAAATTTAAAATCATAGGAATTTAAATAACAAAATATTCCATCACAATAGATCTAAGTGATAAGTTTAAAATCACATAATAGGGGTGATAATTTGGGTTGACCCGCCCAGCTCCGCCACCAACCCGCCAAAAATGGGGCGGGGCGGGTTGACCCACAAAAAAATATGGGTTGGAAAAGTGAACCCACCCCGTTTTATGGTGGGTTGGCGGGTCAACCCGCCAATTAAAAAAATAATTAAAATTCAAAAATAAATTATATTTTATGAATTTGTCTAATATTATTTTATTTCACATTTCTCTATATTTTTTTAGTCTCAATCTTAAATGTATACTAATATTTGTCAAACATTCTTTAGGAATTTATATATAGATAACATTTATCATAAATAAAATTGTTATTCTTTATTTTTTCTAGGAAGTACTAAGATAAAAAAAAATTTGGATATCACAAAAATTTAAGGACTAATGAAATACTACCTAATTGTAAAAAAATAAAATAAAATTATAACCCGGCGGGTCAACCCGCCCCGAGGCGGGTTGAACCTGTTTTGACCCACTTCTAGGCAGGGCGGGTTGAGGTGGGTTGGTGGGTTGAAATTCTCAACCCAACCCGCCCCGTTTTGGCAAGTTGGCGGGTTGACCCGCTGGGCTCAACCCATATTACCACCCCTATCACAAAATATCAAATGTTAAATCATAAAATCACAGTGAATGAAAATGAAATTTTGACTAATTTTTATTTTACTGTTTTTTAGCTTTAACTATGTATTTGTGGACCCACGAAACATTATTTTAACCAATGATGGACTTTGAACTGGTACTCACACCCTCAACTTGCTAATATTTATTGGGAAAAGTGTGTATCATTTTAAAGGATGTAAAATTGTGTCATTTTAAGAGACAGAAAGAGATAGATAAAGGAGGAGAGAAAGTTGACAAAAAAATAAAGGTGTGGGTCCCACCTTTTTGTGAGAGTGAAATGATATAAGTTGTGTCATTTAAAATGATAAACACTGTTCCCATATTTATTAGATTATTTTTAAAAAATGTTTTCAGATGATATAACATTTTTCCTTTTTAATATGGGTTTTATGTTTGTTATCTTAACATAAATCTATTTTTTTACACACACATAAAAAAAGTGAGGTCCACATATTTTTCTTTGTGTTTTATGTTTGTTATGTTACATGATGTAACATAACAAACCTACCCACACAATTGAGAAGAGAGAGGAGAGAGAA